TTTGAATCTTATGCCATGTCTTTTATCTTCAAATGCATATGATTCTAATACCTTTAAAAAATGCTAAACACTGTGTTGTAAATACTTAGATTTTAAATATTTCCTGCTGATGGATACCATATCCTTAATCTCTATAGATTTGAGTTGTTGCAAGGCTAGGCTAAACAAGTAAGTGACCGAGTTGTGGTATTTATACTAAACATACAGTACCATGCAAGTACTGAACTGAAGATTCAGTCAATCTACAGTGTAATTTAATGTAACACTGTATATCCAAAATTCTGTTTCACAGAAAGCACGAAAGGCAGTCCTGGGGGTGAAGAATACCCCATAGCCCCCACCCACTATTGAATACAACACCACAGTATAGTATGATCCCTTTTTGTAAATTCCCTCCCCCCCCCCTTCCACCACGGACGAATCCTTAAAAAAGCCCCTGAAGTGATGAGAATTAAATATTGGCACTCGGAGAATAACCTCAATTGGACCAATCGTTCATTAAAATCTGCATGGCTTAAACTTTTTATTTTCATATTTTAGGTGAATTGTATTGGCATGAATTCTTTCGTGGATGGTTTGAAGATCAAGGCACACTGTTAGAAGATAAACGAAGATTTCCTGATTCGTCATTTTGGGCTTCTGGTTCTTCAGAAGGTCACAGTTCTTCTGATGCAAGGATATCTAGTGGTAGTTCTTGGTGTGTCTCGGATAAAAACCAGTATCTTCAAGTGGACTTAGGAAGATTGTATTATCTCGTTTATCTGGTAACATATGGTGATAGTACCAGCCCAAAATGGGTCGCCACATATAACCTGAATTACACTGTTGATTTCGTGAACTGGGAAAGCCAGGTGAGAATGAATATAACTAACAATAATATTACAGCATGTACTTAATAATTAAGTCTATTTTTGACATTTGACTCTTCGCAGTGTATCTTTTTTTGCTATTCTTGTTTGTAGATAATTACAGGAAACAAGAATGCTTACGATCATGCAGCTGGGGATTATCTTGGTGTTATAGCACGAGCTTTACGATTCATTCCATTAACATACGTAGGTCAACCATGTATGAGAGTTGATACCGTGGGTGAAAGTAAGTTATACTGTGCACCTTTTTAATTACGAACATTACAGCTGTTATTGCCAAAAAGTTTGTTTTCACTCGGGTTTGTTTCTGTGCGTAACAGGATAATTCGAGGTAGTATAGCTCGGGCAGTAGAACATGGACAAGTCGATCATATTTTAGCTGAATTTGGATTAAAACTAATCAGACATTTTACAATAAATTGTCATCTTTCTGTGTGGGCTGTAATTAATGTATGCATGATACTTGACTGTTGCAAGCGGTGGTGCATTCAGCCTCCGATCGAGTTTTTTAAAATCAGTATTGCCTTTTATCTTCTGTTTTTTTATCGATATGTCACATCCTTTTTTCACAATTATAGAATTATTTATATTACACTTTTCAAAATTATATTTTGTCCTCTTTCCCCTAGCTTTGTTACCAGACAAACCTACAAATTTCACCGTCACTAACATCACGTCTAGAAGTGCTGAAATATCTTGGCTAGATCCTAAAAAGCAAAGGATATCTAGTCTTTCACGGTTTTGGGTGAAATTAAAGAAAGAAAACTCTATAATCCTAAACATTATGACAGGAAAAGTAAATGAATATAAAATAAATAATCTCACTTCGTATACCACATATGAAATTTCCGTAGCTGCTGGAAATGTCCATGGTTTTGGTGAAGAGACTATCGCTTCGTTCTTAACTACATCTGAAGGTGAGTGTTAAAAATATATATTGGATGTCTTTTTAGGCTATATAGTCGTTTTCCAGTTTGTTTATATGGGAAACGTTGTTGCCACCAGCGAAAAGAAAAAGTGAAAAACACAGAAGAAACTTGCTCTGAACGTATCTTATAATACAGTGCTACAGTGCTATATAAGCTATTAATATTAAATTCTCTCAAGAAGCCCCTATATTTCTTTAATATAAGAAATGTGGCAACGTTTACCATACTTTGCTTTGTTACTTTGGTTTAAGTAAATAAATGTAATCCTCGAACAAATTGACAATCACTCCCGAACGTTTCGATACTCCATTCTAGCATCTTACGCGTTAACGAGGCCCGACTCGATTCAAATATTTCTGATAGTATATGATTGACCTTGATGGCTATGATACTTGCGTAGCTCAATCAACTATTAAATAAGTAAAGATCTTATCCACTCTGAATTGAAGGCTGTTTGTGTGGAAATTAGGAAGCCACATGCAAACCTGGAAAGAGTGTTCAATGTTCCTCGGATCCTGAATTTTCCTTTTTCAAATGTTCCTCACTTATATTGGTTGTAAAATTGCTGAGGAAACAAAACAATCTTCAAATTCTATTAACAGGATATGAAGAACACTTCGCAATCTCAAAATAAAGTCAAATAGCAGATAACTAAACATGATTCTTTAAAATTCTCCCTCATAGAACGCGTGAAAAATTCAAAATGTTTTTCAATCTTGTTGCTAGGCAAATGTTCCTCAGGATCTAGGATCCCGAGATCCCACTTTTTTCTAGGTTTGGCCACAAAGTCGGCCATTTTTGGTTACAACTATTTGTCGACCACCAAATTAATCACATGATTTCTTTGAAAATTTTGAAAAATTAATCTGAAAGCGATTGATGATGAAAATAAAGAAATGTATATTCTTGGTGATTTAAATTGTGACATGCTTAAAACAGAATTCGATACACCAACCAAGAAAATAAAGTCACTGTATGAACTATATCAATTGTCACAATTAATTAAGGACCATTAGACAAGGCTACTCGGGTAACCATTGCAACCTCCAGCCTCATTGATCATACAGTCACTAATATACCAAAGAAAATCTCAGATTCTGATGTCATTCATACAGGAATCAGTGATCATAGTTTGGTATTTGCCATCAGAAAAATCCATATTTCTAAGAAACAAGATGAAAACATAGTGGAAATTAGAAATATGAAAAAATTTGATGACAAAAAATTTGTTGAAGATTTGCTTAATCAGCATTGGGAATATGTATACTTCCTTCGCAGATAATCCAAACACTACGTGGGAGATTTGGAAGAAATTGTTCGAGGAAGTACTAAATAAGCATGCACCCATTCAACAAAAAAAGACCAGATAAAAAAGTCCCTTGAATTACTAGTGAAATCAAAAAGCTTATAAAATAAGAGGGATAGATCTAAGGGAAAAGCCATTGTGAAAACCTTGAAGCAGATTCGTTAGTGTATAAACAAACCAGAAATAAAGTAAACATAGAAATGAAAAAAGCCAAAAAGGATTATTACTCCAAGAGAATTGCTGGTCATCAACAAAATCTAAAGGAGGCTTGGAAAACAATAAACAACTTGCTAAACAGACAAAACAAACCAACAAAAGTAAATGAGTTAAATATAAGTGGAAATAATTTAACAAATTCTGAAGACTTTGCAGAGGGCTTTAACGAATTCTTTTCAAATATTTGGCCTTACTTAGCTAGCAAAATTGATACTTCAAATTAGAATTTTCAAGGATATATTAAAAAACCTAAATCAGAATTCACAGCATTTGAGTCAATTGCCACCAACAAAGTTTCCATCTCCAACGTGGCCTTTATAGTGCAAAAGTCAAAATTGTTGACTAAAATGGATCCTAAATCATGCACTTATACTGATTTATTTACTTTCAAAAGTGAAATAACAAATTATAAACTTCGAGATGTTGAAAATACTCTTTGCTTACCACATCCCCGTACAAATAGCTTGAAAAAAAGTTTCATGTTTGACGGGGCACACATTTGGAATTCTTTACCAACCGAAATTAGAGAGAGCAACTCCACCATGTCCTTTGAAACTAAAATCGCTACTCACATTTTTGAATAGCATTACTATTTTTATACCTATATATATATATATTTCTTACTATAAGTAATATCTTACTATATGCTATATCTTTGTAATGTTATTATTGTACACGCCCCTTGTGGAAATCATGCAACCTAGGTTGAGAATGGTTAGCGTGTTTAAATAAAAGTTTCTATCTATCTCATTTCAAAATTATATTTTGTGCTCTTTCCCCTAGCTTTGTTACCAGGCAAACCGACAAACCTCACCGTCATTGACATCACGTCTAGAAGTGTTGAAATATTTTGGCTAGATCCTAAAGAACCAGGAAGATTTGGTATTTCACGATTTTGGATTAAACTGAAGAAAGAAAACTCACTAATCCTAAACGTTACCATAGGAAAAGTCAATAAATATAAGATAGATAATCTCAATTCGTATTCTATACATGCAATATCCGTAGCTGCCGGGAATATCATTGGTTTTGGTGAAGAGAGTACTACATTGTTCTCAACTACGTCTGAAGGTGAGTGTTAAAAGATTAATGTCACACATTGAATGTGCTCAATTTGCAATATTGTGCTACAAACAGCAGCTGTTTATCAGTTTGTTTGTACTCGGAATATTAATTGTCACCAGAGAATTTACAAATACCGAAATTTTATATTTGTAAATAATTCACTCGAAAAAGTTGACAAAATCTCTGCAAAACCCCCAACTTTTTCTTAAATTATTAAATCTCAATGTATGTAAACGAAGCTTTACATATTCGGTCAGTGAAATGTTTGTTAATTTCAGACAGTTCACACCAGAAGAAAGCACAAAATGTTTAAGAAATATTATTGCTTTCTCAAACAAATTCAAGCCATTCAACATGGCGGCAAAAATGTATATATTTAACGTGCTAGAGTGCTTTGAATTTGTTTCAGCGTGTTGTTCTTTCTTCTTAAGGCAAAAAGATCCAAGCATTACATTCACTTACACTGTAAATCAAATTGGTTGAAGCAACTAATAAATTGAATTTCTCAGATTCAAAATAAATCCGTGGCAACATTAGCCTGTGTAGGTTACATGCAGATAGGAAGTATCTTTCATTTCCTACTGCACAAAATGAAACACTTTACAGAGAAAAAACCCCACTTTTGCTAAACGATTTTATTACGAGACAAAGTTTAAATGTGTAAAATCTGATATAAAGAAAGCATGGCGTGTACTTAATGAAGTATTATTAAATAGGAATGAAAAAGCAAAACACACTTACTGAAATATTCCCTATTAATAATCAGGACATTTCGGATCTATTGTTGATTGAAAATCATTTCTGTAAGTAAAAGTCCGGTTTAGTCCATTGGATCCAATTGACACTCGAATATCCAATGGACATTCGATATGTCCAATGGACATGCACATGTCCAATGGACATTTGAGCTGTCCATTGGATCCAATGGACAGTCATATGTCCAATGGACATTTCATATGTCCATTGGACATTTGCGTTAGTATTGGACATGTATGAAGTATTTTTCTGGCATTGGACCAAATTTAGCTGACAAGATACCTTTCCCTACGCAGTCTCATCAATCGTATTTACATGGAAACTATCCTAACTCCATTTTATTCGAGTCTGTGTCAGAAGAAGAATTAATTTCCATCGTTGGTTCTCTTCGTACTGGCACTTCCTCGGCTTATGACAATATTTGCAGTCAATTAAAAATTCATTTAATTTAATATCCAAAACGTTTACTCATATTGTAGATATATCTTTGATCGCATCACCCTTGTGCCTGATTATGTGACCTTAAATGGTCTGAGGGAACAACATATAGGGAGAAACGTCGACTCACAATTTTTTGGAGGGAAAGTTGTTAACACGGAAATTGAGAAATTATCTACTTGGCTTCAATCAAATCGATTATCTATCAATCTAAAGAAGACAAATTTTATCCTATTTAAGCCAAGGCAGAGGAAATTAACGCGTGACTTTGTTCTGGAAATTAATAAGTTACGTGTTGATCGAGTCAATGAAGTAGTATTTCTTGTTTTGTTTGTTTTATTTTGTTTTATTTTGTTTTAAATACTTTATTGGATAGTGACCAAACGGTAGGGGCGTGAACGGGACTCGAGGTCCATGCATGCGAGGCATTCCTCCGATTAAAGATACAACAACAGACAATACATGTAGAATAAAATATACATAACTACAGTCATAAATAAACATATGCCATCAACCCGAAAATCAAAACTACGATTTATGATGCTTAATTAAAAAAAAATTCTACATTCTTGGTGTTGTACTTGATGAATGCATGTCTTGGAAACCTCATATATCATTAATTTCAAATAAAATATCTAAGTCTTTGGATATTATTTTAAAAGCTGCTTTACGTATTCTGTACTTTTCTTTGGTGTACCCCTATTTGCAATACTGTGTTATTGTTTGGGACTCTACATATCCATGCAGTGAATCTTGATCGTGTTGTCAAACTCCAAAAACGAGTAAGTCGCTGCATATGTGGACAACCATACGATGCACATATACTAATCCGTTATTTAAAGAATTGAAAATTCTGAAATTTGGTGAGATATATTTATTTATTTAATTAATTTAGGTATGTTCATGTTTTCGTATTGCAATGACTTACTTCCTGATGCTTTCCGCACTTTTCTTCAACCAGTTAATCGAATTCATCAATACAACACCCGAAGTTCCGATTACTCTATATCCCGTTTTGTAGGACTAAATAATGTTTATAAGTAAACCACAAACCAAAGGTCCAAGACGCATGTATAGAGGTCCTATTACCTATCCCAAACATCTTCAATAACTTAAGTTTAGATATCCGAAGCACTTTTTCAATCGCATCTTTCCGAAATAAATTTTAAAAATATCTTTTGGGTTTTCTTTAATCTGTTCGTAATAAATACTTTGTACTGTACTCTCTAGCGAACCGGATTTAATATTTCAATGTTGTTAACTGTAAATAATCGTACTGAAAAATATTTTCTCGAGGTCCGAGCGTCCCGAGACCGAAGGACGCTTCTGAGACCGAGAGAAAATATTTTTCAATTACGGGCCGACCTTAACGGTAAATAGCTTATTTATTTTTTGCAAGCACGATGCTTAATTAAATTCCTAAAAAGCTCCAGTGTGGCAGTGAGATCAGTTGTGTTTGTTTATTTTAAAATACTTTAGGCATGACGTATTAGCCATTCCGAAGTTGATGAGTGGACTAGGGACGAGTGAAAAAAAATTAAGAAATGAACAAATTAAGAAATGAACCAAATCACTAAGGAGACCACCTCAAAATTAGGAAGTATACAAAGTTTGAAGATATTTATACGAATACCCTTCGAATAATAAGCTTTCGAAAATCGCGATATTCAGTTACTATGTAATGTACCGTAATTTTTGTTTTGGGGGACGCGCGTTCCAAAAACAATCTTTTAATCAGTAATTTCACATTTTTCGAAAGCTTATTATTCGAAGGGTATTCATGTAAACGTTTTCAAACTTTGTATACTTTTTGAGGTGGTCTTTTTAGTGATTTGGTTCATTTCTTAATTTGGGCACTTTTTAACACTCGTCCCCAGTCCACTCATCAACTTCGGAATGGCTAATTGCTAAAACGACACGATAAAAAGCCTTTATTTTTGATGCAGTAGATGCTTTTCTACTCAACAAGACAATAAAAAGGTAAATTATTTATTTTTCTGATCGTTTTCACCTAATAACATGCTTCAAAAATGTTCTTTCGACACGCATGCAGCAACAAATTCTACTTCCCGACAACAATGACAGCATTTATAAAAAATAATTAACAGTTATTCCACGAACTCGAGTCGAATATGAGCTGATAGCCGATGAGGCGCGTAGCGCCGAATCGGCTATCTCCGCTCTTATTCGACGAGAGTGAGTGGAATAACTGTTTTATTATATAAACAAGGATAAATTCACAGACTTTGCTTTTCGGATATTTTCAATATTTTTCTATTTTTTAATATTTTTTATCTTCGCTCTTTCGGCCGATCATTTTTTCAAAAATATATATTTTTAACCATTTTAAATTTTAAAAATTCATTTGCTAACCTGTAAACAATTTGTGAGAGTTTTTTCATTGTGTTTTTAATCCTGTAAAGGCTATAAAAAGCGAACAACTTGCCGTTTTCTCATTCACAAACGTCGGAAATTCAGTTTTAGCCGCCATTTTGTTTTTCGCTACTAGCAGGATATGAGCTGATATCCTGCTAGTAGAGAACCAATCAGATTGCAGAATACCTCATATCCAGACCTTGTGTATATAATAATTATACTTATGACTGAAATGAGTCTAGAAATAATTTTAAACAGCCGTAATTTAACGGGTATTTTTAAAATTTTTATGTTTGAGGATAAGTCCTTGGTTCCAGTATTTGTATTTTATACGTCAAGGAAATACTTGTTTTTTCACATTTAGGTCGAAAAAAGTACATTTCGGGCTTGAAACTAAATCCATTGAGGTCTGTTCAGCTCATTTTTCTATCTTTTGTGTTGATAGGGAGGGCTTTTCAACTTTTTGGATTGATTTTTTGAGTTTGAAAATTGTCTTCACCCCTCGGTTTGTTTTGTATGGTGCGAAACGTGAGTGGTCCGTAACGTGTGCGAGAGGTCCTTATAAAATAATTTCCCGAGGTCTCAGAAGCGGCCGAGACCGAAGGTTGAGGGACGCTTCTGAGACCGAGGGTAAATATTTTTCAAGTACGGACCGACCTCAACGATAAATTACGTATTTATTTTTTGCTAGATGCTATAATTTGACTTAATTAAATTCCTAAAAACTCCATGCAGTGTTGCGAACTAGATTTGAGATCAGTTGTGTTTGTTATTTAATGCAAGCATGGCTGACATCTTCTCATAAAGGAACACGGTAAAAAGTCTTTATTTTTGATGCAATAGATGCTTTTCTACTCAATTAACAAGACAATAAAAAGGTAAAGCGATTAAAACTATTTATTTTCCTAATCATTTAAGGCTTAAAGGGTAATGGCAATAAAAAAAATTATTGCTTTATCTGAAAGAGCATGAAAAAATAAGCTGATTGGCCGTTTACTGCTCTATTCTATCTCATCTGGTTCCGAAGTTATACGCAAAAATGTACAAAATATAAATTGCTGATTCAGCACAACGTGTGACGTCATTGGCAGGGTAAGTATGTTTAATGAATAGTAAACTGAAGCATAGCTCAGTTATTATTGGCTCAAATCAAATGAGATTTTGTATACAGATAGTACATGATGAGACGCATGGGAAAATACTTCTAATTTTGTTGTCAAGGCAACGCAGTCGTTCCCAGGCCCCTTACACTGATTTTGAATAACTAGTTGCATTTATCTATGTGTATGTCATTTGCGAATTATTATCATGCAAGTAAACTTTTGGCATGCTTAGGTATGGTACACATGCTTCTGACATTATTTTATTCTTATAAGTACCATGAATAAAGCTGTTTTATAAAATTGGCGCAAGGGGCCTGGGAACGACATTGTTACCTTGACAACAAAATTAGAAATGTTTTTCAATGCATCTTATCATGTACAATCAGTACGCAAAATTTCATTTGATTTGCTCACATAATAACTGAGCTATGCTTCAGTTTAGTATTCATTAAACATACTTACCCAACCAATGACGTCACACGTTGTGCTGAATCAGCAATTTATATTTTGCACATTTTTGCGTATAACTTTGGAACCAGATGAGATAGAATAGGGCAGTAAACGGCCAGTCGGCTTATATTTTCCTACTCTTTCAGATAGAACAATAAAAAATTTTATTGCCATTACCCTTTAAGCCTAATAACATGCTTCAAAAATGTTCTTTCGACACGCAGCAACAAATTTTACTTGCCGAAAGAAAACATTGTGTTCATGACAACATTTATAAAAATATATGACTGAAATAAGTCTAGAAATTATGTTTATGAAAAAGAGCTTTTCATGTCGCGGAACTACCGCATGGAACAACTTGTCAACTGATATTACTGGCAGGCATGCACAACTTTCCAGGAATAGCTTTAAAACTTTACTTAATAGCTACTTTGGAAACTTGCCAAGCAGGTCTCGAGGTAATGTTTCGTGGATCTGTGTGATGACCTACAATCATTTTGCAAATAGTTTTGGTTACTTGCATAATTGGATATTTTTTATAATATAAAATAATTAATTAAACGGCCCACTGGCTTCGTGTACAACATAGTGTCGACTGTTAGTATGCATAGTTACATATTTTTTATTACAAATTTGTAAATAACTAATTAAACGGCCCTTTGAAAATCAGTTTTTCTGCTGAAAAGCTACCGTTTTTAGAGAACTTTAAATAATAATAATAAATAATAAAGAGATCGAGAAGACGCGTTAGAAAGGCTTGATAACTAGCGCGGCCAACGCGTCTTGTGTAATTCCAACGCGCAGTCGTACAATTTCAATCATTACAATGAATGGCATCATCTGAAGCTGACGTGTTAAAATGTCAACAAATAGCAGATTAATAAGTTCTTTGTATGTTTGCATGGCGATAAACCATATAATAGTTTTGTTTGTGGAAACACCACGTAAATTTATTACTGCAAAGCTTTCACATATTATTAGCACTGATGAAGATCCGGGCTTACGGATCGAAAGCTTTGCAGTAATAAATTTACGTGGTGTTTCCA